GCAAAGCTGCTGGTCTTCCTGCATCAGCTGCTGTTTCAATTTGGATGGTTTCTTCCCCTTAAAGCCCCTTGGTGGAGAGACATTTTTCAAAAGCAGTTCTGAGAAAGGGCCAGCTTTGGAGGAGAGGCAAGGATGGGGAACATGGGTGGGCCGTTCCCCGGTAAATCGGGAAATGAGCCTTTGAAATGTGGGGCGCCTTTTGCCCAAGTTCAGCAGCTGGGCTCTGCCGGGAGAAGATTAGAGCAGCTAGAAGTATCTGCACAACTTACCCGTTCTGAGATCACTTACCCCTTGGGAAGCTCACTCCCAATCGAAGGGGGGGCAGGTAGCCTGTGCTTTGGGATCTCCCTCCCCACCAGGGTCTGGGGGTCCAGGGCTCGGTGGTCATGTGAGTAGGGCAGGCATCTTCCGTGGAAACCCTGGCATGCACCTTGAAGCGGCCTTCATCTTGCCACTTGCCACTTGCCACTTTGACAGAAGAGCCTCCAGTCAGGATTAGAGGAAAACTTAGAAGCACGTGTGGTGTGTGAAAGCCGCCGACAGCAATCCCCAGCCTCATCTCTTCTGTCCCCCCTGGCCTTGCTTTCAGGCTAGAGTTGTTGCGTGGGGTGGGGGTACAGCCTGTCGTTACAGGGGACACTGGCTGCTCCCCGCATTGAGGCTTCTAGCAGCCACCTACCTGGTTTTTCTCAAGTCTGTCTCCTGAGGTCAGAGGTCAGAGCTGGAGAGTACAGTCCCATGTGGGGGTGTGGCACTGGGGCTCTGGGGAATGCATTGTCATTTACAAGAATATATGGCCTTGTATTTGGCAGGGTTTTCCTTTTTTTTTTTTAAGTTTATTTATTTTGAGAGAGAGACAGAGCGAGCGGGGGAAAGGCAGAGAGAGAGGGGGAGAGAGAGTCCCAAGCAGGCTCTCCACTGTCAGTGCAGAGCCCGATGTGGGGCTCGAATTCACAAACTGTGAGGCCTTGACCTGAGCTGAAATCAAGAGTTGGATGCTTAACGGACTGAGCCACCCAGGCGCCCCAAGAATATATGGCCTTATGGGGCACCTGGGTGGCTCAGTGGGTTAAGCGTATGACTTCAACTCAGGTCATGACCTCGTGGTTCATGAGTTCGAGCCCCACATTGGGATCTGTGCTGACAGCTCAGAGCCTGGAGCCTGCTTCGGATTCTGTGTCTCCCTCTGTCTGCCCCTCCTGCACTCACACTCTGTCTCTCTCTCTCAAAAATAAACATTAAAAATATACATATGTATATTTTTATGTATATAAATATGTATACGTATATTTGTATATACATGTATAAATATGTATATGTATATATATATTAAGAATATATGGCCTTGTATTCGACAGTGTTTTCATATGGGTGAGGCAGATTCTCTTTAAATGGGCAGCTATGAGGTAAATGAGCCCCACACTAGGGGGAAGTATGAGTGGGGTTTGTATGAACGCAGTATCTTTCCTAAGGTATTGCCTATAGAGGCTAAGTTTGAAGAGTTAACATAAGTTGTAGGAGTGAACGGGGAAAATATTTGCAAACCCTATATCTGATAAGGGACTTGTATCCAGAATAAAGAACTCTTACAACTCAACAATTAAAAGACAACCCAATTAAAATATAGAGGAAGGATTTGAGTCGACAGTTCTCCAAAGAAGATGTACAAATGGCCCATAAGTACATAAAAAGATGCCCAACATCATTATTCATCAGGGAAATGCAAATTAAAACCACAGAGATATACCACAGCACACCTACTAGGATGGCCATGATAAAAAAGGCATAACAAGTGTTGGTGACGATATGGAGAAATTGGAGCCCTTGTACATTGCAGGTGGGAATGCAAAATGGTGCAGCTGGTTTGAAAGGTAGTTAACAATTGAGTTGCCATATGACCCATCAATTCCACTCCTAGGTATTTACCCCAGAGAATTGAAAAGTTATATTCACATGGAAACTTGCAAGTGAATATTTCTTAGCCTTATTCACAACAGCCAAAAAGTGGGAACAACCGACATATCCATAAACAGATGAAGGGATAAACAAAACGTGCTATATCCATATGATGATTATTCAGCCGCAAGAAGGGATCAAGTACCGGGGCGCCTGGGTAGCTCAGTCGGTTAAGCGTCAGACCCTTGATTATGGCTCAGGTCATGATCTTACCGTTCGTGAGTTTGAGCCCTGGGTCAGGCTCTGCGCTGATGGTGTGGACCCTGCTTAGGATTTTCTGTCTCTGCCCTTCTCTCTCTCTGTCTGTCTCTCAAAATAAAGAAATAGTTTTTAAAAATTATTTAAAAAAAGAGAAAGGATGAAGTCCTGATACATGCTATAACGTGTATCACGCCTGAAAATATGCTGTGTTTAAGGAGCCGATCAGAAAAGACCATGCAGCTTATGATCCCATTTATATGAAATGTCCAGAGTAGGCAAACCCATCGAAACTGAAAGTAGATGATTAATGGTTGCCTAGAGCTTGGGGGATTAGGGCAGAGTTGGGAGTGAGTGCTAGTAAGCATGGGGTTTCCTTCGAGGATAATAAAAATGTTCTAAACTTGATTGTGGTGCTGGCTGCACAGCCCTGTGAATCTACTAAAAGCCATTGAGTTGTACACTTTGGTTTTTTTTTTTTTTTTTAGTGTATTTTATTTTATTTTATTTTATTTTATTTTATTTTATTTTATTTTTGAGAGAGAGAAACAGAGCATGAGTAGGGGAGGGGCAGAGAGAGAGGGAGACACAATCTGAAGCAGGCCCCAGGCTCTGAGCTGTCAGCCCAGAGCCCAACGCGGGGCTCGAACCCATGAACCTTGAGATCATGACCTGGGCTGCAGTGGGATGCTCAACCGACTGAACCAGCCGGGCACCCCTGAGTTGTACACTTTGAATGGGTGAATTATATGCTATGGGAATTGTATCTCAGTAAAGCTCCTTTTGAAAAGTCAGCTCTGGCGAAACTGTTGGAGAAGAGCGAATTCTGTGAAGTGAAATCCTCTTTTCCTTTGCAGCCGTAGTAGCAGTACGTGGTATGACCTCGGTGACAAGGTGGAGGTAAACTGTATGAACATCACCACAACAGAGTGTGACTTCACCCCAAAAGGCAACTCAGTCTTTCTGCGACCGGAATTCGACACCTTTTTACGTGTTCGAGCGAAGGTAGACGACCTGGTTTCTCCATGGCTGACAGTGCCTTCTTTCCGGTACTGTAGGAATGGTAAGAGAACTTGGCTGTGAAACGTCCTTTATCGCTTCCAGGCTTTCTTCACTTTCGTCCTCACTGAACAGTTTTGGCCCCGTGCACCTCAGTCTTGCTTCTCACCCCACATAGCCAGCAAACAGGTGGATTCATGATGGTCAAGTCCAAGTACTGACCGTGGAGGCCGACGCTAGAGGAGCATGATTTACCAAACCAGGGGCTGGCAACCTACAGCCCGTAGGCCACATCCAGCCCACCGGCTTGTGGTTATAAATTTTATTGGAACAGTTTCACCATCTTTCAATAACGTATGGCCTGTGGATGCCTTCAAGCTACAGCAGTAGAGTTGAATAGTTGCAACGGAGATTATCTGGCCTGCAAAGCCTAAGTTTACGCTGGAACTTTACTGAAAAAGCTTGCTGACCTCTGGGCTGGATGGGATACCAGTATGTTGGCTTCACTGATCTGGCACAACTTCCTTTATGTTCAAGAAAGACTTTAATTCAGCCTTGAACAGTGCCTGGCACATAGTGGATATTCAGGAAAGCTTGGTTGAATGGTTGAACAAACGTGCCTCCAGAAATTGGAAGGGGGCATAAGAAATGCCAGAGAGTAATTTGTACATTTGCTCCTTCCGTGGTTCATTTTTCACACGGTCAGCTGTGCCCTGTGTTTCTTCGGTGTTTATGGTTTATGCAGACATAAAGTGTGGAATCCTGATTCAAACAAACTAAACGCGTATAAGACCAGTGAGGAAGTGTCACCGTCTAGCTATTTGATGATCTGCATAAGCAATTATTGTTAATTTATCTTAGGTATTATAATGGTATTTTATGTTTTTAAAGCTGGGGGCGGTGTCTTTTCTTTTAAAGACACATTCTGGAGTATTTACACATGAAATGATGTGATACTTGAGATTCGTTCATAACAATCCAGAGAGTAGGAGGCTAAGGGCAAGGTGGATGGGCACGTGGGCCACAAAATTGGCCGTGACTTGACGGTTGATCAAAGCTGGGTAATGAGTACATGAGCTTTTGTTGTGAGCTCCGCCTTACTTTCTACATGTTTGAAATGTTCTGAGATAGGAAGCTAAGAAAAAAAAGTCAACCGTTTGTGCTAGATGATGCAGGGACGGAAAAAGAAGACAGTGTGATCCCTGCCAGCTGATCGTCTACTGTGGACAAGTTATTTGTCCTTGAATAGAGAACCAGCACACATCTGAGCTGTGAAATGTCACCTAAGTGGGAATTAATTGAAAAGAAGGAAGGAAAGGAAAGGAAAGGAAAGGAAAGGAAAGGAAAGGAAAGGAAAGGAAAGGAAAGGAAAGGAAAAAAAGAAAGGAGAGGAGAGGAAAGGAAAAGAAAGGACAGGAAAGGGGAAAAGGAAGGAAAGGGAGGGAGGGAGGGAGGGAAAGTGGTGGTTACTGGGCACACCCAGGAGAGGAATGGGACTAGAAGCAAGCCCCATCCTGAAAGTCTTTGGTGCATCTCTGCTCTCTGTCCTTCGAGCCTGAGCTGGGGAGCAGTGCCCCCAGGTGATTACCAGCTGGGTTGTCATCCTCTGCCTGTCGCTTATAAAGACCAAGGCAGTTGGGTCCTCGGGGCCCCATCGCTGTGTCCAGCACTCATGCTCTGGGGATAGAGAACCAACAGGAAGATGCTTTCCCAAGCGTTTGGCGGGGGAAGAGGAGCTGGCTGCAGGGGGCAGGCTGTAGCATCACGCAGACCTAGGTTCAGATCGCGGCTCTACCGCTTAGTCGCTGCGACTCTGGGTGAGGACAGTCACCCCCAGGCTTCCGTTTCCCCCTCTGGGAACCGCCTTCTGTGCTTGGCCACACGGATCTGTGGGGACACATGTGAAGTCCACGTGGCCTGGTTTACAGTCAGAACTTAGTGCATGGAAGTTGTATCCACAGTTACCCACGGATAACAGACTTCCTTCCATGTGCCGAGAGAAGGCAGATTGTGTCCCCCTCAAGAGACAGGTGTCTCAGGTTGGTGCCAGATTCCAGACCCAGGACTCTCAGAAGGGTACGTCTCTCAGCGCTGACCTTCCAGCGGATTAAGTGACTGGTCGCGACTGGCGCCCTTGCTTCCATGCCCACTTCCCATGTGTGAGTCACAGAAGAGTCTAGAGAATATGCCCCACCGAGGTGAGAGGCGTGCAGCAGGCGGCCAGGGCCTGCAGGTCAGTGCCTCTCGTGCTCCAGCCGCTTGGCTGCGAAAGGGAAGCTTGACAGAGTAAATGCCAGTGTCTGGGAGCAGGTTTAACAAGCGCTTTCTGCCACTCGTAGCCAATCCACTGACATTGTTCCCGCTGGCCGTGGGCCGGGCTCGCGCCCCCTCCCTCCACCTCTCCGCCCCTCCCCCCCACCCCCATCTCTGTGTGGACCTTGTTCCTCCACCAGAACAAATGAGATCAGAGGGCGTGGGTGCAAACCCTGCAGGGACCAGTTACTTTTGCACAGAGAAGGGCAGCTAAACCAGATGCCTAAGCCTCACCAACCTGGGAGAGCCCAGGGAAGAGCATAGAAGCATAAGAGAAATCCTCCCCCACTGTGATGAGCACGGTACTGCACACAGTGATACGATCGTCTGCAGGTGTAAACGGTGTATGTGGAAGTAGGCCTCTTAAGAACTCATGCGGCCTTGGGGTGCCTGGGTGGCTCCATCGGTTAAGCCTCCGACTTCAGCTCAGGTCATGATCGCACAGTCCATGAGTTCGAGCCCCACATCAGGCTCTGTGCTGACCACTCGGAGCCTGGAGACTGCTTCGGATTCTGTGTCTCCCTCTCTCTCTGCTCCTCCCCTACTCGTGCTCTGTCTCTCTCTGTCTCTCAAAAATGAATAAACATTAAAAAAAAAAAAACTAAAAAAAAAGAACTCATGCAGCCCAACTTCTACTTTGATCTGAGTTAATTACATGCTTTAAGTGCCTACTTGATAAATGTAACTTTTAATGCATAGCGCTTGGTGAGTCATAGTCCTGGGGTCCTGGGAACTATAAGCAAAGCTGTAACAAGTAGACTTACTGTGGTATATTCTCTGCTACACTAGTTCCCTGTTACTATATATCTTTTAAATGTTTTTTAACATTTATTTATTTTTGAGAGAGTGTGAGCAGGGGAGGGGCAGAGACAGAGGGAGACACGGAATCAGAAGAGGCTCCAGGCTCTGAGCTGTCGGCACAGAGCCCCACACGGGGCTCGAACTCACAAACTGCGAGATCATGTCCTGAGCCGAAGTCAGACGCTCAACCCACTGA